TTTTAACCCCATTTCCGATAACCCGGCATTTTCACAAACTCGGCCACCCTTCGGTCCACATTAGGCCGAGTTTTCGAGGTTCTACTGTATTGATAATAAAAGTATTACTCGGCAAATTATTTGTAATCTCAATTTATAAAATATCAGAAATTTGACCAAAAATATGTCATGTTTTAGATAAAGTGAATGAAAAAACTGGAAAAGCTTAAATGAAATAAACTTATTTAATCTATTTATGTGAAAAAATAAAAAAATTTCAAAAATAATTTCGTTTCAGTGTTATATTATTTCATACAATTATCGTGTTTTAATTTTCTTGGATATTAAAACATTTAATAATTAACACAAAAACTTTACCTTATTTGTTAAAATACAATTAATTAATTTAAGATTTGTAATCGAAAAATTAATTTTGCGATCTGAAATACAGTAATTCCATTCGACAAATTTTTATTTCCAATCTTAATTTAATTTTAAAAGTTATTTGTAATTTTAATTTATTCGACAGTAATTTACTCGAAAAATTAATTGTGTGATCAGTGCTAATCAAACCACTACTACTTACATAAAAGTTTGTCACATCGATTGCCCACAATAACATATTTAAAAAATTCTTAAATTATGTACAGTAAAAGAATAAAAATTCTTTAATGTATTAGATTAGTCACTCCGTGTGATAAACGGCTAGGTAAGATAACCTCTGTACTTATATAAATCAAATACTTTAATATAGCGAACATTAATACGAATACCATATACAGTAAATAGTTTAGTTATTTCAGCCTACCAATATCACGTTTATCGCGAAACTCAGATGATACGAAATGGCACAGTCTTATTGTTCAAGTAAACATTAATTAAAAATATATTTTAAACAGTTTGGCACCTCATAACTCATATAACAACTTCAAAAAGTCAGACTCTGCTTCGTTAAGTACATTTCTACATTAATTAAAAACTTTTCAGCAAAAANCATTGAGTGAGTGTCCTGTGGTAGTTTTAGCCGATGCATCAAAAACAACCCGAAGCTTGGTTGTAGTACTTGTGTCTTTGAACACTGCATGATGGGGAAGATAATATGTCCTTGAAGGATTGAGATGGATTTCCTCCTGTCTAATTGCTTCCATATGTCCTAAGGATAAGTATTCATCCAAAAAAGATTTATATTGATTATACAGATTGTTCCCTTGTAGCCTGTGTTCTAGCTGTTGAAACCGTGTAATGGCAGTCTTTCTTGAATCTCCAAGCCTGTGTGTGGAGTTTTTGAAAGAAAGACGAACCACATACCTGCCGGTTGAATCACGTGAATGTGTACTATAAAAAATGGTTTCACACAGTTGTTCCTGTGTTGTTAAATGTCTTATTTCAGGCAGTTCTTCCAACTCCCAGAATTTTTTTAGCTGATTATTAATACTGCAGTGATGAACCTTGACTGAAACTGGTTGTTGGTTCATACCTATTGGTCCTGATAGTACCCAACCAAATACTGTGTTCAATGCACTAGGAGTTCCTGGTGGTCCCTTGCACTGTCCTGGACAAATAATCTCATTGTAAACATCTGCACCTAAAAGTATATCTATTGTGCCTGGTTTATGAAAGGTTGGGTCCGCCAATTGAAGCCCCCATATATGTGACCAATTGGACGGGTCACAGTGGAAATTCGGCAAGTTTGTTGTCACATTTGGAGTAATTAGTGTTTCTACACAAATATCCTCTGACTTTCTTGAGGTAACCCTTATGTTAATGCATAAACTACTGGACGCGGTGCTAATACCTGTAGAATTAATTCCTGAAATAGCTACGTTAGATGGTTTCCGCTTCAGTCTAAGTTGCTGAACACAGCGTTCAGTAATGAAACTTGTTTGAGAGGCAGAATCCAATAGAGCCCGACATGGTTGTAGTTCTCCTTGAAAATTCCTCACTTGAATGATAGCAGTGGATAGCAATACTTGTCTATGCCCACTCGATTGCTTTGACATGTGTGACATGACTTCTGGTTCTACAACCCTGCTGGAGGTTGTTGCACTGTCATATGACCTATCTTGATGTATAAGGGTGTTATGTTTATGTGAACATTTTTTGCAGTGACCTGCTTTACACTTTGTTGCCGGATGTCCAAGCTTTAAGCAGTTGTAGCATAACTCATGCTTCTTAACTAAATCTCTCCGTTCGTTCACCGATGCTCCCAAAAATGTCGAACATTTGAAAACTGGATGTGTGCCATGACATATGGGACATGCTGGCTGCACAATACCATGGTGTGCTGCAGCAGTTATTTGCTTGGACTGTGAAGACAGACGAAGTCTGGATGTTGGTCTTGATTGGCCAGAATGAATATTGGTTTGGGAAACAGCCAGTGCTCTAGCTCAGCGCTGTCCAACTTATCATAGCCCGCGGGCCATATTTTCTTCACCAAACATTTCGGGGGCCAAGAAGGTTGGTGATGGCTAATTGGTCGGCCGGGAATCACGCCACATGACATTTGCATAGTGCTACGGTCTGTAAGCACTAATTGGTCAGCGAGTTCGATGTTGACGCTATAAAAAGGCGACAGTTCGACACACCGGATATACGTCACTCTCGTCTAAGTTCGACTTGGGAATTTTTTTGTTCAATAATAAATGTGAATTCTTCTTCCTGGAAAAANGTTGCACTGGTTGCTTTAATACCTTTAGTGCACGAATACACTCATTAGTTGTATCTAGTAAGTGTCGTAACGCAGTGGCTGATTCTTGTGCAATGTTGGGTTGCTTGAATAACTTCTGAATGTACGAATCAATTATTTCACGATTGTGATTGTATCTTCTTAACAATGTATCCCAAGCTTCCTGATAGTTTCCATCCGTGATGGAGATAGATTGAATCAATAAAGCGGCGTCCTGTCGTACTGACGATTTCAAATATTGGAGTTTTTGGGCACTAGATAGCGTAGAATTATTATGAACAGTGGCTGTGAATAAATCGCGGAAAGAGAGCCATTCGTCGTACTTGCCGTTAAAAACCGGGAGTTCCAATCTTGGAAGTTTAACTTCTGTTCCATTCGCACTGTTGTGTACTGAACTTATGGTTGCTGAATTTTGTTCAACAGTCATGAGTCGAATGGTCATGGCTTCCACGCGACCAATTAGTGTGTTATATTGAGCATTATGTACCTCAAATTCGTCTTCCAAACATTCTCCAATAATGTCTTGTTGTAACTGATCGATTTCGTCCGATAATGTGTTTAATTTTTTAAGATATAGTTGTGCCGTTACCTCACCGAGAGGTTGAACTCCATGTTCCTCTAATATGTTTTCAATTCTAGTTACCCGTCCCTTTAGTACCTTCCTTCTGTTTAAGAGTGCCTCCATCTTGAATGTTCGTTACGCCTTAAGATGTCCTCCAATTCCCAATGTTTCCGAAATGCCTATACTATCCACGTGGTCGTATTGATTTTCGTCCGAGAAAAAATTAAACGGTACTCACTGTTTAAGTTTTCGGGTATCCGGCTGGATGTCGATGGATGAAATAGCTGATGTCTCTATTAGGCTTAACCCTCGTCAACCACACCAGAATCCGCCTCGACGGACCAATTAAATGTCAGTGAGCCTTCGCAATGTTTCCGGACAAACGATACAACGAAGCATAAACACTCTTAGTTACTTTTAATAAACTGAACCAATACAAGTTGAACAGATAAAAAATCGTCATCACACCATGCAATACGTAGACGCCATGTTTTTCCGTCTTTTTTTCGCTCGTTTTTTACAACCAATCCAATTAAAAAAAACAGTTATATACGCGCCCCCTGCCCAAGCATACACTTTTTTCTGAACTAATACGATTGATACCGAACAAACGGTGTTAGATGAAAGTGGAGACCGGATTTTCAAAGTCCCCTAAACTTTTTAGAAACTACTGCCTGTAAACTTTACATAGCTTAGGGGCATGAAGCCTCGATTAACCATATACGATTATTTCAATTCAAAAGTATTCAACTGAAAGAATTAGATTACCAGCGCGACTCCATTCCTGACAGGATACGTTTGGTATCCCCAGGCAAGACACTACTAATTTCAGGTGAAAAACAAATATTTTAACTTAGAAACATGATTAAACATTGCAGCCTGGCATTGTAAGGATGTCACAATAAAACAAATGCTCGTGAACACTTCCTTAAACACCTATTAGCATTTACAACTTTTTATGAAGTCCAACTCCACTCTCAAAATTAAGCATTTTGCTATTTTATAATAGTTAACAAAAATTTTAATAAAATATCATAACAGATGGCGCCATCAAATGTTGACTGGAAAGCTAAGCAACTCGTTGCTCGATTTTATTTTTCTACATTTTCTCACACTGATGAATAAATACGTTTATTTAGATAAATTTATTGTATATGCCGGTGTTATAAATGTTTTTTTGAGACCTCCGGTAACTTATTATTTAAAAAAAAAACGAAGCAATGAAAGTTATGCCCGTTGATATCGTGACATCCTCTAGACTAGGGTTAATAATACGGTTCTATCACCTAGACAAAATGACAAGACATCACAAAATAAACAAATATAGTTTACTTATATTAATTTAGTCGTGCTTATTGAAATAACTGAAGCTTGTACGACACTTTGTGTTACAACACCCCTCCCTTCTAAAGGACAGTTCGACATTTTCTTAGCGTATTCATCTGATTTCAAACTAAAGGTAATGTGTTTTCTCTGTAAAATTTATAAAATTTGGTAAAACTTTAAAGAGCAAAACAAGATAAAACAAATAAAAATAGTCACATTACATAGAGTGTGATGGCATTTTATTACATGCACAGCAGTGCGACATCGTTATTTTAACGCGTTACCTCTACAGCATTGATTGATGTATCTGTTCTGTGCATTTACCTTAAGGGCAAACGTAATTTGCAAACACACGCATAACAAAATGGGCAAAAAGTCACACAATTTCGTATAGTCAAATCATTAAACTTAACGTATATAAGTTTGACAATACAAAACTCTACTCACAAGAGCAAGTGTGGCGAAAGCACTCATGACTCTTGGCGAGAAATTATAGAAATGTGAGAGAGAGAATCCCTCGGCATCTACGATACAAATGATTTTATTTTCTTGAGTTCGATGTAAATTTAATTGAAGGTCCCATATAAGCAGTATAACACGTATTACATCAATTCCATTTGCAACAGACGTATCCCAATTGGCTGTGGAAGAAATTAGTTTTAAAAATAATTATACAGTAATATTATCATTAATATAATATAGAACATTAATTAATTACCTTAATAATTTATGTAATAAAAAATAAAAGTAAGAAACTACAACAGTGGTTTTTAATTACAACTTCACTCGCAATCGAATAGATAAAAAACGTACAGTACAGGGAAAGTAAATTAGTTAAAAATAAATAAATAAATAAAAATTTTACATACACATATCTTACCTATCTCTACATATCTTATAGTGTTCAAGGTTTATTAAAACATAATTTGTCAAAACTTATAATTTCGTTTATTCAGGAAACGTCAGAAATTGTAAAACAACTGATTTTAAGCATCACTAAAATACAGAATCGACTAGTAAATGAATGCAAAAACTAGAAAATATTTTAATTTAGTACAGGTAACCCCCGTATAACACGATAGTTACGTTCCAAAAAATTGCCGTGTTATGCGAAACAAAGAACTAGTACGAAAAGGAGGTTTCAAAAATTAAAAAAACGTGCTACTATATTTTCATAATTAAGATAAATATCTTTATTAAAATTTTCTTAAGTGATACATATTAATATAAATTAAACAATGTTTTCTTCGTCATCACTAAAAGCACTATTAACCGAGAGCGTTTTATTTTTGGCAAGTTATCGTTATCCTCTGAGCATTTTTCTGCATTATTTTCAGATTCATGCTTTACCTTTTGCAAAAAGTGTATGTAATTTTAGATTGCTTGCTTCTAGTTAAAAGATCTTTATAAATTTCCTTATATGGTGCTAAGCACTTATGGAATAAGGGAAAAACATCTGGCAACACCAGAAGCAGAAGCGTCGAGATCTGGCAAAATTGAAACAATTTTCGCGAAGGACCATGTGTATGGAGACGAGAAAAGAAAATTTACACACTGAAGTACAAATAGTTCACGAAAATAATAATTTTCGTGAACTATTAGTACTTAAGTACGTAAAAATTTATTACATTTCATGTTGTACGACGGTTTTACCCATTTCTCGAACCGTGTTAGAGTGAATCCGTGCTATAGAAGTGCCGTGTTATACGAGGGTTACCTGTAATTTATTTGCGTACCTTATTTACTGATAAAATGCAATTTGGCATGCTATCAACAAGGTTTTTATGATCGATGCCTGAGGGGAGTTTCAAGCAGTGACAATTGCTTTAAATGTTCAGCATTAATATACAGTACTGATGATTTTGGTCATAAATTCAGTCAAACAAAATCCCCCAAACGTTTTCTATACGTTTGCAATCTGAAGAATAAACTGGCTAATCCGTTTATTTTCATACCACTGTTTTGTATTTCGAGATACATGGATAGATGCATTGTCCTGTTGAAAAATAAGAGGAATTTTTTTGAGTCTATGCTTTTATGGCAGCAATTTGTTTTCCAGATCTTGCTGATAGTTACCACTGTTCATGCGACAGGTGACGAATGCCAAATCCAATTTTCTTAATGAAGAAAAAGCACCCCAAACCATAACCAAACCATGCTTCAATTTTGTGAAAGCACCTTATTTTCTGGTTGTTTTAAATATAACAGAGGGGACGTACGGCGATTAGTCACAAAATGAAGCACCCCCAACATTTTTGCATTTTTGGATTCGGGATCTTGAAACGTCGAAAAATTATAAAAATTACCGAGGGTTTTTTCTGTTTATATGGATATTAGGATGTCTGTATGTGGGGTCATATTTTGTTTATTTTGTTCGAAGATTAATTAATAATTCTTGTTCTTTCTGTCAAAAATTTCTGAAAGTTTGCAAAAATCTGTGCGTTTTCATATTATTAAATTTTGGTGGTTAACGCTCAATAGGGTAGTGTGATAACCTGGGTTCGTATGTCTTATTTTGAGTAGGGTTATAATTTAAATGAGGGCTTTTTTAGGTTATTAAGATTTACAATTTTTTTCATAAAAGCGCTTTCCTATCCTCAAAACTAAGCTTTTTGTTATTTTATAGTAATAAAAAGTATAAACAGTTTTTAAAATGTAATATCATAAAAGATGGCGCCATCAAAATTTTTAATTTTGCAGGGACAGTTAAGCTACTCGTTGCTGAATATTTTAAAATTCATTTCAGACTTTCACTACAACAGGACATTTCTTGTATGTCGATCAGTCGCAACCGAGTAGTAGGAAATAGAAAACATAATGTTAACTTGAAAAGTCTTGTATTTGCTTGAAATCCAATCCGGAAACCCCAGATTGATTGACTTGTGCATTAACCGCTTCAGCCATTCATGCCCAATTATCCCGGAAGCAATTCTGTTTCTCATATAACGATTGAAAAAGGATACTTTTTGCATATATGCAATATACAAAATAATTGCATTCTGCTTGCCTACGAATTATAACCAACTAATAGATAAGCCCGGCGTTATCGGGCAAAAAGTAACGATAACGAAGATTAATATTATTAGATTATAGCCGATTTTACTTGTTTTCAACGAGTGCAAGAATTAAATTCACCATCTTCTGAGACAAATTAGAGAATTTTTAGATGCGTCTAAAATTATGTTCGATTTCTCTCAAAAAATCGCAAGTAAAATAGTACAGTAGAAGCCGAGTTTTTTAGGGTAATTCTCTCCCTCTCCTCCGTGGGGATGAATTTCGAAAAATCCCTCCTTAGTATATATTTTCGTGACGTAGCCTACCCTAACTGTGTACCAAATTTCAACTTTCAACTCCTAACCGTTTGAGTTCTGCACTTATTATTATTATTATTGAATATTATTATCAACTTATTTCGATTATATTACAAGATATCGTCCTACAATCGAAAACTGTTGGCGCCGTCTCTCTAAGCAAAACACGGTTTAACTGAATGGTTACTGACAATTAAAATGTTAATTTTTTTTTTCTGTTGTTATTCTGAAAAAAAATAAAAGAAAGTAAAATTCCTACTTACCACATCGGAAAAAGCAAATATAGCTTCCGTCTTGATCTGGTTTTGGCAAATATTGGAAAATATTCATGTTCACAACATCCTCCATTTTCGAAGGAAGAAGATTTTTAATGTATTGCGGATAATTTACTCTCGTGTTATAATAATTCTTAAGCAACTGGAGAGAACTTGGCAAATCGAATTCTGTAGCACGTAGAAATCCGAGAAGGAAAACGTCATCCATGAGACATGTAATGCGTTGTTCTCCTAATAGAAATGATAAACATAGATATTAGTTTATTATGTTTTCATAATTAGGTTGTGAAACAGATCAAATCATTTTCAAAATATTCTTTAAATTAATGTTACGTTTTCACATATTTTTCAAAAACAAAAATGTCACAAACATAATGCTTATACTGTACTGTACATTGTAGTGTAAAAAGAAAAATTCCCAATCATTCAAAAGTATCATTTAAAGAGAGCGTAACGTGTAGAAAAGTATACTAATAAGAAATAACAGTGGAAAATTATTTTCCACTGTTATTACTTATTTTCTTTTGACTTTTCACTAAGATTTTTTTTATTTGCTAATCATAAATTACACCAGTGCAATAAGTCCTACTAAAAGATAAGGTTTAAGAGGACAAGGATACTAACAGTAATTTCTAAGAGAACTTAGAGGTATAAATGGTTTACATCATTAACTCTTTTTAAGTATGATTAAATTGAATATCCATGACTTTTTTCTTCAGCATGGAGTCATACAATCCACTAGAATGTCCTATTGAATGTTGAGATTTAAGACTTTCGGTTAAATCAGCGAATAAGAGATTAAAGTGAAATGAAGAAGCGTAGAAAGTCCTCCACTTTTTCTAACAATGTGTAAAAAGCTAAATGACTGTTGGAAATCCGCAGTAACGTGATCGTTCATCCGTTAAAGATAGAATAGTTTAGATATAAATTTATGACCTAAAGCAGCTTTTGGAAAACTTCAACAAAGAGATTGATTTTTTTATGTTATAACAATTAAAACGATATCAACTTACTGATAAGATTTTTGAAAGTTTTCAAGGCATTTTCGTCCCAAGGAAACTCTTCTTTTTCTTCCTCAAATATNAAAATCTTCAATTATTTAATAAATTTTATCTTTTTATACAAGAATATTTTAAAAAGAACTTATGTTACGACTTTTTTACAGATACTTTACGTCTGTATTAGTGTTGTATTAATTGTACACTATAAGGATCAATAAGTAATTTTATGTTAAATAACATTGTCGGATACAATACTGTTATTGTTTTTAAAAAAATCTTTTAAGAATTTTTATAGAATATTTCAAACTTGCTGAGGAAGGGCGTTTAGGTCTAAAACACAGAAGGTATAGGCAAAATTAAATATATTTTGTTTTGACTTTTGACTAAGATCTTTTCTATTAGCTAATCAGAAATTACACCAGCTCAATAAGTCGATTTAAAAAACAAGTTTTAAGTAGACTAGAACAGTAATTTCTAAGAGAACATAGAGGTATAAATGGTTTAAATCATTAATAATTTTTAAGTATGATTAAATTGAATATCCATGACTTTTTCTTTACCATGGACTCACACAATCAACAAGAATGTCCTATTACATGTTGATATTGAACACTTTTGGTTAAATCAGTGAATAAGAGATTGGAGTGAATTAACGGAGTATAGAAAGTCCTTTTATTTTTCTAACAAAGTGTAAAAAGCTAAATAACTGTTGGAAATCCGCAATCGTTCCTCCGTTAGGTATTAGAATAGAATATATATAAACTTATGACCTAAGGCAGCTTTTGGAAAACTTCAACCACGAGATCGATTTTATTTGTTATGTTCTAACAATTAAAACGATATCAACTTACTGATAAGATTTTTGAAAGATTTCAAGGCATTTTCGTCCCAAGGAAATTCTTCTTTTTCTTCCTCAAATATCAAATCCTTTATCTTCATTCCACTCATTTACGGCTATCTATTTAAAAATACAATATGTTAAATGTTTACTTAATAATCATACATATTTTTCTGAATAAGAATCTCTTTCAGTCATAAGTAACATATGTAGACGAAAACTTCACCCTCAGTCTGTTCAATACTCTTTGTGAAATATTAAATAATACATATTAAATATTCCTACATATAATTGTAATAAATAACTAATATTAACACACTTCTACTTACGTTTTCCTTTACAAAAGCAACTTTAAAGTAGAAATAGTAACTAGAATATCTAGTTTTATCGAGATGCTCATTATATTGGATGTTATATCCTATATATCTTTTTAAGGTCATAGTTACGTGTTAACCGGTTACTTTCATATACACTTTGCGTTATATAAACAAAATAATTTATTCGCAGTTATACAACAGATTATTTTTAAAATGCAGAATATTATATAAACTGACATTCTGAATTTATTTCGATGAAGAAAATTCTGATTACCTTTTATATAATAGAGTAATTATTTTAAACAGCTTGCTAATAGAAGAAATATTTTTTAATTCAGTTTTAACTAGGGCTGGGGAGTCGGAGTCCAAGTTGTCAAATATCTCCCCTACTCCCCACTTGATTAAAGGTCAATAGGGAAGTCACATAGAAAGGGTCTTGTGTCATATCTCCAGTGTAGTCGGACTTAATGAATATTTTACTCGTTATTAACATACAGAATCTTATAATATAATCGATATGGATTAATAACTATAATAATAATTAAAAATTTGGTATACAGTTATGATACGTTATATGAATGTACTGTACACTAAGAAGGTTTTTTTTTCGAAATTCCTCTCATGTAGGGAGAGAGAAGGAATTAAGGATTTAGCATATGTGTTTATTCCTTATGACAATATACTTTTTTAAACTTTCCAAAAATTTTTAGCAAAAAATTAGGTTAAAAAATAAAATCTGTAAATAAAGTCTGATAAGAGATGGCACTACGTGTCATTATACACACATTTAGCCTTACTGTGTGGATAAAATGATATACTGTACTGTAACTCATTTTTCATCAACTTTCGAATTAACAATTTTGTAGAGTAAAACATTCCAAGAAATTAAAAGATTATTCCTATAACTTATGCATTTTCACAGATCTCGGGTACAAAACAAAGTTGCACAATAGAGTTTTTTTTTGTTCTCAGGCTCTAATGTTTAAAACATATTTAATGGCGCCTTTGGGTAGCTACAAACAGTCTTATTTTGTTCCTTATTCAAATTCTTATGTAAATAACAGTAATAGGTTGTTATTGTTATTTGTAAATAATACGTGATGCTGCAATAGTAATTTAATTAATTTTTGTATCGCAAATTTGTCTGATTTTTTAATTTTAATTTTAATAGAGTTAACATTAATTGAACTGTCAGACAACCTAGTCAAGAATAATGGTGATTGTGTATAAGATGGCACCGGAAAGTAAACAAACCGTGCTACCCTGTTAATCACTTACCTTGGATGTGTAGGAGAAAGATGACGATGAGGACTGGATTGAATAGTACTTTCGTCTCTGTTTTTCTCCTATATATTTTCGAATTTCTGTTGATAATCGAAGATTGCTCCTTTTTAGACGCTAGAATTACTGCTATTCGACTCTTATTTGGAATTTGGTTGGTTTATACGTCTTCGGAAATAATCGAACACAATCATACGATAGCCTTATCTTCATCTTTTTCCTCTTAAAAAATATGAGAAGAAAACAATGTAATTATAATTACGTAACATTTCTCAGGAATGAAAGTATATGTAAACTTTTGATATTGATAATTAATTAAACAAATATTATCGTCAACTGAATTATCTAACATTTTAAACTAAAATTGTATGACCTTTGAACCGAAGTAATCAACAATTTCTGCCTTACGAGATAGCCCAGGACGCGTACATGCAGCAGCGGTGTCTTTCCGTGGTAAAAATAATAAATTAATATATGCCATAATATAATAATATATTTCTAATAAACAAATTATACTGTGTGACAGCCGGAGTTTTAATTACTTCTTGTGTATCCATATGATGACCATACAGTAAAGAAAATACAAAGAATTAATTGTAGAGAACTTTTTTTTCGNCCAAAAATTTTTAGCAAAAAATTAGGTTAAAAAATAAAATCTGTAAATAAAGTCTGATAAGAGATGGCACTACGTGTCATTATACACACATTTAGCCTTACTGTGTGGATAAAATGATATACTGTACTGTAACTCATTTTTCATCAACTTTCGAATTAACAATTTTGTAGAGTAAAACATTCCAAGAAATTAAAAGATTATTCCTATAACTTATGCCTTTTCACAGATCTCGGGTACAAAACAAAGTTGAACAATAGAGTTTTCCTTTGTTCTTAAGCTCTACTGTTTAAAACGTATTTAAGGGCGCCTTTGGGTGGCTACAAACAGTCTTATCTTGTTCCCTATTGAAATCCTTGTATAAATAAAGATTTGAATAGGGAATAGATTGTTATTGTTATTGATAAAACATACTTTGCCCATCACTAAGTCACAGCCCATCACTAACACTTTCCTACTACAGAATGGTGTAACCCGACGTGATGTTGCGATAGTAATTTAATTAATTTTTGTATCGCAAATTTGCCTAATTTTTTAATTTTTTTAAATTTTAATTTTAATCGAGTTAACATTAATTAAACTGTCGGACAACCTAGTCAAGAATATTAATGATCGTGTATAAGATGGCACCGGAAAGTAAACAAACCGTACTCTTTAATCACTTACCTTGGATGTGTAGGAAAAAGATGACGATGAGGACTGGATTGAATAGTTACTTTCGTCCCTGTTTATATCTTATATATTTTCGAATTTCTGTTGATAATCGAAGATTGCCCCTTTTTAGAGGCTAGAATTACGGCTATTCAACTCTTATTTGGAATTTGGTTGGTTTATACGTCTTCGGAAATAATCGAACACAATCATACGATAGCCTTATCTTCATCTTTTTCCTCTTAGAAATATGACAATAAAACAATGTAATTATGATTACGTGACATTTGTTATGAATGAAAGTATATGTAAACTTTTGATATTGATAATTAATTAAACAAATATTATCGTCAACTGTATTATCTAACATTTTAAACTAAAATTGTATGACCTTTGAACCGAAGTAATCAATAGTTTCTGCCTTACGAGATAGCCCAGGACGCCCCTTAGTGGGCGTACATGCAGCATTCCGTGCTATAAATAATAAATTACATGTCATTCCGTGGTATAAATAATAAACTAATATCAATGATAAATTTCTATTACAAATAAAAATAATAGTATACTGCTAATAAATAAACTATACTGTGTGACAGCCGGAGATCACGAAATTTTTCAGGAAAGTTTGATTGTTAAGAGGATTGATGTTATTAAATTTTGACGGTTAAAGGTCGAGGGAATAAAAAGATAAATGAGTTATCAGTAGTGGAGCCGGACTTTATGACGATTTTACTCATTATAAACCTTTACAACTTTTATATAAACCTTACCTTACCCTCAAAATTAAGCTTTTTGTCGTTTTAAATTAGTTATAAATATACAAAAGTTATTTTAATAAAATGTGATGATAGATAACGTTAACAAAATTCTAAATGTTGCAGGGAAAGTTGAGCAACTCGTTGCTGCTTCATTTACTATGTTTAAATGGTATCTGTAAGTTACACAAAATTATAACTTCTGTACAGGATAGTAGCCTAAACTTGATTTAAAGTCGGGTATAATTTTACAGCGCTTATGAAAACCGTTTAATTTACAAACCTTTACAGCCTGCCTCCGGTTTTATTAAACTACGAACATCCGAAATCCCTATAGTTTGTAGTTTCAAACCCGAGGCAGCTACAACCAACGATTCCGCGACAGCCACCCACTGAATGCTTTTAATATGCTGTTAGTGTAATCGTTACAATAAAGTTTAATTTGCATAAATTTGAGCTGTTGTTATTTTGAACAACATTTTAAATGAAAATCATTCGTTCGGATTGCAATTTTATGCTAAGAAGCGATAAAAGCAAGGGATAGGACCCCAGCCAAGTTTTACCTATCCACCCGCAGGTTTTGCCAGCACCTCACTGATAACGAAAGAGGCTTAAGTTTAAAGTTTGAGCTCTCTAGACCCAGTGCTAATATTTTGATCCCGAAGCCATGACTTTGCCTTCCTGCATCAATGTTTCGGATCATTGCCTCACTGATAAATGAAAGATGTGGAAATAATCAACAGATTAACAAAAATAAGTAACAGCAGCACCAGACCATAAGAATACCACCACCAAATTTCGATGTGCTTGTACTTCTAGATCAGTTATAGACTTCATCGATGTAGTCCAAATCCATTTTCGTTCATCTGAACCAACTCTATTAATATTGGATTCATCTGCGCATAAACTCTTCTGCATTTCAGACATCAAAAAGCTAAGGGCTCGTCCGGGAATTGAACCCGAGACCTCTCGCACCCAAAGCGAGAATCATACCGCTAGACCAACGAGCCATTCTTCATGACTTACATATCGTGCAATTTCTCCTTGTGCTTGCACTTAATTTACGACTAAATGTTCGTCGATTTCCCATCGTCTCTCCTACTTTCATTTCAATATACTTAGTTAATGGCATAGAAGAGAGAACACACATTTGCTAAGATCCGATGATGGCAATTCACGAGGTGTGCGCCAGTAGACATTCTTCTCGTCGCACACGTTTGATCACCCCCGTACATTATTTTTTTTTCTCGTTCGAAACAGATGAATAATGCACACTCCACTCCCTTTTATCGAATCCGCACTTTTCGCAGTTTCTAAATATTTCGCAGCACATTTAACTCCTTGTGCCTACTAATAAATTTACAAAATTATTTCAGATTATTAATATATAAGATATAATACTATAAATTAAACACTATAAACACAACATCCGTGCTTTTCGAAAAAAATATCTTTAAAAATGTTCATCTGTATAAGTTTTATCATTTTGTAAATATCCCTTATATCTCTCTTCACAAAGTTGCACAGAGAAAATTAAGAGTGTGTGTATATTCAATGTACCAGAGCCTCTTTAGCCACCACTCGAAAACATCGAGTGACGTTCCCACTTCCCAGGACCTACAGGTTGGATTTTGGAAAGTAGTGTTCGTGTTATGTGACGCTGTCGTTTACGGTAACGAAGCGTGATATGTAAATGATTGGATGCGACGAACAAACCACATAATGGTTCAATTGTAAATGTTATCGTGAGGAGTGTTTGTAAGGATGTGTTGTAATGAAACTGATGAAATCGTAGAATCTTCGATTGAAATTCGATGAAATTCGTGCCGATTGATGCATTAAATAATTCATCCTTACATTATATACAGTAAGCGTCAAAATCCAGCAAATGAACGCGGGAGACTATTTTTAAGAACTGGAAAATGTTGCAAAGCACAGATGAGCTGAGCATCGGGCGCGCTCAATTGCAAGGCACACTTAGTACGATAAACTACTGTTAAGCTACGTAACTATAATAGGACAAGCAAACAAGACTGCAATTATAGAAAATTCCGCCTGTCTTTTCCTTATCGCGAAAACGGAGTTAGATAGATGAAAGGCGAAACCAGATATGGAAATTTACAGGCAGCAGGATAGCTCAACTATGTTACAACTATGTACGAACTTCCGATGCAAACCAAAGTCACGTTATTTACAAAGTTGCAAGTCTGTAGTCAAACAATCGCATGAAGAATGAAATGATATTAAACCGAGTTCCGCGATTACATTCTAAAAAGAAGTTTTTAACATTAGTGGAAAAATCCTAAAAAAAAAATAGAATTACAAAAAGCAATTTGAGCAGTGCGCAGCCGCGCAGCTTAGAGGGAACATCATAGACATGTAATGCGTTGGTCTTCTAATAGAAATGAAAAACATACATATTGGTTCATTATGTTTTCATAATTAGGTTGTGAAACACATCAAATCGTTTCCAAAATAATTTTTAAATTAATGGTACGTTTTCACATATTTTTGAAAATAATGTCACAACCATAATGCTTATACTGTGCATTGCTACTATAAAAAGAGAAATTAACCAATCATGCAATACTATTATTTATATAGAGCCTAACGTGTTGAAAAGTATAATAATAAGTAATAATGGTGGAAAATATTATAGAATAAGAAAGTAAGAATATACTAGACAACAACCAACCTTTGTAAAATCTTCAATTATTTAATAGGTTTTATCTTTTTTACAGGAATATTTTAAAAATCCTTATGTTACGACTTTTTTTCCACGAATACTTTACGTCTGTATTAGTGTTGTATTAATTGTACACAATAAGGATCAATAAGTAATGTTATCTTAAATATCATTGTCGGATACAATACTGTTATTGTTTTAAAAACAATCTTTTAAGAATTTTTACAGAATATTTCAAACCTGATGAGGAAGGGCCTTCGCGTCCGAAACACAGAGTGTACAGGCAAAATATAAGATATTTTGTTTTGACTTTTGACTAAAATCTCCACTGTTTACTAATCGGAAACTACACCTATTTAATAAGTTCTATTAAAATACAAGGTATAAGTAGTCAAGCATACTAACATTAATTTCTAAGAGAACATAGAGGTATAAATGGTTTATATAATTAATTTTTTTTATGTAGGATTAAATTGAATATCCATGCCTTTTTCTTCAGCACGGACTCACACATCAACAAAAATGTCCTATCATAGGTTCAGATTAAATACAAGTCGACCCACCTATAACGCGGTAGATACGTTCCACTTTATAAGAATTTCGCGTTGTAGGAATCCTCAAATACATGAGCCATTCACAGCCCGGCACGTAAGCAGTTTACGGACTATGGCTGTTTGAAAGGTTTTCTTCCATAAAATTAATCGATTCTAGACTAATTTCACTCAACACTTTCAAAACACGTATAATATTTGGGAATAATCTGTATAAACTATGCTATAAACAAAAAATTGTAAGATTACTTACCGAGTTTGCACCGTTCGACCACGCCATTGCTTAAGCTTGTTTTCGTCGCGGAGCAGCGCACCAAACGGCGGCCAAGTTTTCTGGTAAGTTATTTTTCTGCGAAAAATTTGTTGAACTTTAGAGACATCATTGATAGAAATAATTTTTATGGCTGTTGAATAAGAAATGTTTTTTTCACAAGAAATGTATAAAATTACAGTACTGTATTAGACATAAAGTAGCTAATTTATATACTGTACAGACTATAGTAAACTCAACTTACCCACCTAAACTCTCCGTAGCCTGTAAGTAGTTCGGCTGCTCGTCCACTATTGGTCCAGATTCGACTAATCCTGTCAACGCGGGCGATGACGTTTTACCCGCATTTTACGAATCTCTTTTAGCGTCTTTATACGAATACGGTCGCAATTTTTCGCCGCGATATAGGAATCCGCATTATATGAACCCGCGTTACAGGGTTCTGTTATATAAATACTTTAGGGTATTGTACTTTTGGTTAAATCAGCGTAGAAGAAATTGCAGTGAAATGACGGAGTGTAGAAACGTCTTTCCTTTCTACGCTCCGTCATTCTACGTTCACATATTAAACACATGTTTAATTTATTGTGCTAAAATAAGCAGGCTCACCCATCATATTAAATTTAATTTAAATTATGTTTAACTTAACTAATTGTTTACTAATGTCGAAACATATACATAAAATAGTTTGTTCAAAGATAACTTATTAATTTTTAATGATACTAAAAATAAATCTGCTATTAAAATTATGAGTGTTTCAATGCAATTAATTAAACAAAAGAAATTAACTCCTTCTGAATGTAAATTAATTTCCCCCTTGGGGAAGTTTTTTTACACATGCGCATTCCTCAGGGGATCCTTTGAAATTTTTAAGTGCAAAAAGGGGATCGCTGACCAAAAACATTGAAAAACACTAGTTTAGATATATACTTATGACCTAAAGCAGATTTTGGAAAACTTCAACTACGAGATCGATTTTATTTGTTATGTTTTAACAATTAAAACGATATCAACTTACTGATAAGATTTTTGAAAGT